CTCTGAAATAACGCTAATGGATGTTATGTAACCTTAGGGGTGCTTGGTATGGAGCACTAATCTTAAATGGAAAGTTGTCACCCAAGGAAAATGAATGGATAAAAACAGAATCAAGCCAGATGTAAAAGCAGCTTCTCCCCCTATAGTAGAGGGACGTGGTTATTGCCTCCGTTTCCCCCTTGGTTTCCTTCTGGTCTGTAGTTTTCAAGCAGTTCTGGTGAGTTGAAGTGACTTGGCCTGCCAATTAGGTCATAAGTACTGTCCCCTTCCTCATATAACTAAAACGTCAACAAAACAGTCTCCCACCCTACTTCATGTTGGACCATAGCCCTTCCCCCATGCATGATTATTTCAGCTCTTTGCCAGACACAACAGTCCCTTCAGCCCTGATGTCAAAGGGGTTGGAGAAGGGGGCATTCCTCCTGCCCTGGACTCTCCCACCGTTGCACTATATTCAGTCCTGAACCCACCTGACCTCAGTCATAAGGGTCACTTAGTCATCTGAACCCCCATACTACAATTCCCAGGACCTCCACAGATTACGTTTCCGAATACTGAAGCGCTGAGCCTCCAGTGACACTTGGGCTGGTGGTGCCTGGTTTTGAAGGGGCCAACACATTCTGTTAAATTGCAACTATTCCTAGGGAATGAAATGAGATTAAGTACATTAAATCTGACCCTACAGTATCAGATTTTTGCCATTAGGAACAACTCCTACCTATTAACTGGTTATGCAATTATCCAAGTCTCCACAGTCCCAAACACTGTATGCAAGCTGTACATGGAAATTCCAGGAAATTACTTCAGCTCGAAATCCAACTGGCCTAAGTAGTAAGTGCACTGTTGATGCATATAAGATTTGTATCCTAGGTTCCAATTTTTCCAAGGAACAGCACTGAATGATTAATTTCAATCAAACCAGCTAGACAGAATCTTCATCAGTAACAAAGACCCTGGAGTAATGCCTTACATTTGAATAGCGGCACCTTCTGGTTTGCAATTTGCATTTGTAAGGAGGAGGCTGAATACATTTTCCTGCCCAGGAGATCCAAATTCTTTGTCCTTGGGAGTGGACTTGTACCTCCCTTGATGTGACCTCTCATGGGCTACTGTCATGACAAGCAACTAACCCTAACTAACCCTAACCTTAGGGGCAGGATGCAAATAAAAACACTTGAATCCCTACATAAATACATAATGATTGTTCATATGCTTTCTCATAGATGTCAAAGATGTTGGGATGTTCCACAAAGTCTCAGCACGTTCCAATAGTGCATTGTTAACAGGGAGAACTACTCTCCCAAGGTTCTAGGACTTAAAAATATCCACTAACTTGTGAGTGTTTTCCTAAGGCCAATGCCAATCATCTAAGGAGGTCCTCCTGTGCCCAAAAGTGTTCAGCACTGGAGAGGAAGCATCTGCTACCATGGTGTCATCTGGTGATGACAAAGATGAAGGAAGAGAGGCCACTGGCCTCCCTGGGTGCAGTACCAGACCCTGCAAGGATTCTGAGGTAGTGTCCTCCATCTGAATCTGCAATGTAGGTGGCTGGGGAGGTGATGCCATGGATGGGTTGGGTGCTCTTGCCCAGAAGTGGGTTGAAGGTCAGGACCTCAAGAAATAAGGAACATCCTATGGATTCCCAGGCCACTGTGGATAGCGATAAGGCATCAGTGGCCAGTAGGCACTGGGCAAGAGCTCCTGTCTCTGCTGCAGGGACAGTCGTGGTCAGGATGAGAAAGGGGTTCTCAACTGCCTTTTAGACTGGGAGGGAGGACGTCAAGCTCGACTATAATGAATCCCCAAAATCATCCAGAGATAATGGGGGAGCAACCCCAGCAGAGCAAGACAGAGTCCAGCCTCATCAGAGGTCCAATGTGCTGGTTGCATCAGTCCCAAGGTTGACAGAAGTTGGTGACCAGAAGTTGGTGACACCTGGCAAGGTGTCAAGGTTCCTTCCCCACTCTGAACGCTAGGGTACAGATGTGGGGACCTGCATGAAAAACCTCCTAAGCTTATCTTTACCAGCTTAGGTCAAAACTTCCCCAAGGTACAAAATATTCCACCCTTTGTCCTTGGATTGGCCGCTACCACCAAACAAATACTGGTTACTGGGGAAGAGCTGTTTGGATACGTCTTTCCCCCCAAAATACTTCCCAAAACCTTGCACCCCACTTCCTGGACAAAGTTTGGTAAAAAGCCTCACCAATTTGCCTAGGTGACTACAGACCCAGACCCTTGGATCTTAAGAACAATGAACAATCCTCCCAACACTTGCACCCCCCCCTTTCCTGGGAAATGTTGGATAAAAAGCCTCACCAATTTGCATAGGTGACCACAGACCCAAACCCTTGAACAATGAAAAAACATTCAGTTTTCTTACAAGAAGACTTTTAATAGAAATAGAAGTAAATAGAAGTAAAGAAATCACCTCTGTAAAATCAGGATAGTAGATACCTTACAAGGTAATTAGATTCAAAACAGAGAATCCCTCGAGGCAAAATCTTAAGTTACAAAAAAGATACACAGACAGAACTAGTTATTCTATTCAGCACAATTCTTTTCTCAGCCATTTAAAGAAATCATAATCTAACACGTACCTAGCTAGATTACTTACTAAAAGTTCTAAGACTCCATTCCTGGTCTATTCCCGACAAAAGCAGCATATAGACAAACAGAGACGCTTTGTTTCTCTCCCTCCTCCCAGCTTTTGAAAGTATCTTGTCTCCTCATTGGTCATTTTGGTCAGATACCAGCGAGGTTACCTTTAGCTTCTTAACCCTTTACAAGTGAGAGGAGCTTTCCCCTGGCCAGGAGGGATTTTAAAGGGGTTTACCCTTCCCTTTATATTTATGACACAAGGGCAATGCACTCTCATTTGGTACCAATGCCAAAAGAGGCACAGACACCGGCGTCGGTACTGATACCAATGACACAGTCTACACTATGACTATTATTGGTGCCAAAGATGACTGCTGTGCTAACAAATCCCTCAGCACTGGTACCAGTGCCAGCCTCAATTACGTACTCAATGTGATATGCACTGTTGAGGGTGGTGCTGGTCGCAGAGACACCAGTGTAATTAACCTACATAGTGCCATCGTTGTTGATAAAGTCGCAGCACTTGAATATTCCCAGACAATTGGAGAATGAGGATCCAAAAGGCAACGCACATCTGACATTGCCTGATGTGCCAGGGGACTGGACACTGGTACCAGATTCAGCAGACATCCCATGGACAGAGCCAGAGTCGACAGGACAGCCCCAAATTAATGTTGCCTCAGTATTAGAGAGCAGGTAGAAGGCCCAATTCCATCATGTGTACCTGAGGAGTCAAGGTGCCAGTCTGCACAGATTCTGGCAGAGGAGGACTCTCTCCAAGGTCTGGAGTGGCTACTGTCTGTTTTATAGGTCCTTTTCTCAGAGGCCCAAGGGAGGTGAATGATCCCTCTTCCTCTAGAGGAGGCCTCAGAGTCTAACAGAGGAACATCGTCTTGTTATGGTTATGATGGTGGCTGAGGAGCCAATACTGTGCCTGGTGCCAACCAGGACTCATGGCATGCTGCATCAGGTGCTGCTTGAGCCTCAAGTCCCCTGCCACCTGCATTCTTAAATGATTTGCAAATAAAGTACTTTTCCTTAATGTGCCCCTCTCTAAACACTACACATGAGGATCACTATTAGGAACAGTCACCCCACACGCCAGACAGAGCTTAAATCCTGGTGAAGACATTCCAGCTGAGAAAAAAAAATAGCTACTCAACCTAACTTTGCTAACTAAGGCACTACTAGATAACTAACTATTGTGACTATTTACAACAAAATTTCAGAAGAATGAAACACAAAATCAGGGTGAAGAAACACCACACTGAAACTCCAACTCTAGCCATGGGCAGTGAGAAGGAATTGGGGTGGGGGGGAAGGGAGGTTCAGAGCAGCAGTGCCCTTAATAGTCATGTGACAGGCCATAAAGAAAGGGCACAAGTACTGCCCCATGGTTACTGCTAGGCAAACTTTTCTGGCTTTGGTGCGCTGGGCACATGCATACCTGAGTGGAACATATCTGCAACCACTCAAAGAACTATTTCTTCTTTTGTCTCATGGTATTTAATGAAAACCTTTTAATTCACTGTCTTCATTTGATGATAGGGTCAGTTTTCCATTCATCATACTGTACTAACTAATGCTTTAAAGGGGCATTTTCTTTTTCATTTTAAAACCTGACTTGAGCTTTTGGAAGCTGTCAGATCAAACGCTTATTTAGCAACATCCATCTTCCCAATGCACAATAATGCATCTTTTACAACAAATACAGAGGATGACATTTCCCATATCTGCAGGTGGACAGCCTTCACACTAATGTCCTCTTTTTTGTAGTTTTTTTTTTTTAAATTGGAAACAGCCACATGATAAACTGCCACTTAAATACATTTGCAAGACAATTCTTCCCTAATCAACTAAAACAGACCTCTTCGTTTGGGATTAGTCCTGCTCCTTCCTCCAGCCCCAGTGGTGAGTTCTTAATTTAGTGGATGAATTTGGTAGGAAGGATCATAGCTGGAGGCAAATGCATAGCACCGTAAGGTGCTGTGCAGGATTCTCCATATAACTCTGCCAAATTATGTGATGGTTTTATTATGTGGACAGATGTCCCCTGAAGACCAAGAAGCAACTACCAAATTCATTTTCACTTAGGACCTACTCAGGATTGGAACCCAATTTACCAGAAGTGAATGTTAAGTGCTTTAGCCCTACTTTGCTTACTAGTTCCTGCACACTCACTCCACCACATAGTTCCTAGAATGCTTCACGTATATTCTAACTGTCCACTTAAGAGTCTCAAGACTATTAAAAGCATTGACCTTCAAGGAACAAAATCACTTTTTTAGCTAATTTATAACACAGTATGAAGTTTGCTTAGATGCCTGAATAATAATCATACACATGATTAAACAACTATTTTTCAAGTTTAGGTAGGCCAAAACTAAATATTTCCTTACCTCCAGGGTCTTTGTCTGGATTATATTCCAATGCATTGCTACAGATGAGATCAATATCTGTTAGGAAATCCTTGGCAGTCAAATAGTTGTGTTTATCAATTTTGGTTATTACTGTTGACAGGTCCATTGGTTCTTTGATAACTTCAAGATAATCTGAAACCTACAATCAAACAGCATACTGAAGTGACACAGGGCCTTATGCATTTCATCGGCACACTCCAGAGGAAGAATTTTTGATTAACCAGGTAAACGTGCATTTTTAGAAATTGTAACAAAAAATGTATCAACATAAATCTTAGATTAAGACCATACATCAACATCATATATAATACCTAGCTACTGGCTAAATGCTTAAATGTATATTTAAAGTGCATTTTCTATTCTAAACAGGCAGTGAAAATGGCATCCCCAGATGTAAACTGTCCAGTTTACAAGTAGAATGATATTTTTCTAAATATTACTGTTAATTCATCCTGTTAATTCATCCTAGGATCTAAAAGTCAACCTGTATTTTTTCTAGCAAGTGTATCACCACTAGTAATAGAATCTTCATGTGAAACTGCAAAATTTATATAGCAGATCAGTTAAATAAGAAAGGGAGGTCTTCTGGTTAAGGCATTAGGGACTGGGACTTGAGAGATCTGTGACAGTGCTAGGAATTAATCCCAGATTTTGCATAACCCTGTGGCAAATCACTAAATCTCATCTGTGTCAGTTCCCCATCTATAAAATGAAGATGGCAATATTCCTTCTGCATAGTTGAAAAGAATTGTTCATAGTCCTTTAACATAAACAAGTTAAGTCACAAATAATGTTCAAATATTGAATCTGGCTTGAAGCTGGAGGAGGACTGGATGGGGCCTCACATAATGCTTGTTAACTCTGCATGTAATTTAAAGTGCAGCTCTGCTGTAAAAAATTACACTAAAAATGACATTGCAGGGTCCCATTTTTATGGTCTCTCAATGACTTACAGAACAAATGTTCCAACTGGAAGTAGAAAAGTGTTTTTTTCTTACTGCCATCCCTACAAAGTTAGTATTCTATTTGAAAGCCAAGCTACGCTCTTTCCTTTTCACACACCAGCACAGTAATAGACTTGCAGGCCAAATGATGCCCTCAGTTACAACTGCAACCCCACTGTCTTCCAATTATGTCTTTCAATGGGTCTTCACATTCATAAATAACTGGAACTTATAGATTCATAGATTCTAAGGTCAAAAGAGACTATTACAATCATTTAATCTGACCTTCTGTGTAACACAAACTACAGAACTTCCCTGAATAATCCCTAGAACATAGCTTTCGGAGAAATATGCAATCTTAGTAAACATTTCTGTTACTCTTCAATAAAGAACAGAACACAATTCACTTTTTCATCACAATGTTGGCTCTACAGGAATAAAAAACAGTAAAAGCTAGTTTTTGGTAACTAAAGAAAGCAAATACAATTAATTCCAAATACATCCTGGCAGCAGATTTGATGAATAAGGTGCTACCATTTTTATAATGCTGATTTTCAGAGTGGAAAAGCAACTTCGACTAGTACAGGCTAGAGCAGGAATCGGCAACATTTAGCACACAGCACGTCAGGGAAAGCCGCTGGTGGGCCGAGACGGTTTGTTTACCTGCAGCGTCCACAGGTTCAGCAGATCGCAGCTCCCACTGGCCATGGTTCGCTGTCCCAGGCCAATTGGGGCTGTGGGAAGTAGCACAGGCTGACCGATGTGCTGGTCGCCGCTTCCCGCAGCCCCCATTGGCCTGAGACAGCGAACCGTGGCCAGTGGGAGCTGCGATCGGTCGAACCTGCGGACGCTGCAGGTAAACAAACCATCCAGGCCCACCGGCAGCTTTCCCGGACGTGCCGCATGCCAAAGATTGCCGATTCCTGGGCTAGAGTAATACAAGTTTTTTTGCTGAACCAGTAGTGTGTCCAAAAATATGCTTCTGATCACTCTCACTGTGGTACAGAAGGTTATGACTAAGCCACCAGTGGATTACAGATAGGCAGAATTGGCTAGGTCATGGATATCAAGGATATCTGGGATAGTAATTTATTCACGCCCTTTTTAATTAATAATAATTTTTTTTTCTAATAGGTTCAACTTCATTTTTTGCACATTACTGAAACAAGACCTCTTCAATATCCACCGGTTTGCTGAAGATGTTAAAGCGTTTGTCTGTAGCCAGCCTCTTGGTAACATCCCTGAGAAACAACCGCAGTTCTCTCAATGTGTTCTCCTCCTGGTCCTCCATTCGTTGCTTTTCTGTTTCTGACAGCTGACGGGGAGGAGAGGGTAATGCAAGAGGAAGAACTTCCAGAGCACAAAGAGCTAGGGGAAAAAGGCAGGAAAAAGTCAGAAAGTATTTGTAAGAGGGCATTGAACGATTACCCCTTTCTGGACTTGCACAATGCAAAGGGGGGGGGGGATTTCCCATTTTCCTTCCCACTTTTCAAACTTGACAATTTAAACTCCTCCCCATCTTACTCAGTATAATAGAAACATGCCAGTTCTGCACACTGATAAACTGTCAGTTGTTAATGACCCTAACTGCATTTCCCAAAACCATTTAAAAAGAAAAACATTTTACAGTACAAAACTTGATTCAAACAGATTCTCGCACTACTGTGGCTTTATTGTAAAGTAGCTTACCAGCCTGTTTCCTTTTGGGGGGGTGCATTGATGCCTGATTAAGAATTAACTCCTGGAAAAATCTCAGTCTGTCTTCTTCACTTGGTCTTTGAATATAAAAAACCTCTTCATACTGGATTCTAAAGATACACTTCACCTGCAAGAAAACAACGTCATGAAGAGTCAAAGGATTCAACATGTTCTTGAACTATCTGATCAATGTATATTTTAAACACAGAGGATCAACTTTTCAAAAGACGCAAACTGGCCATACTTGAGAAGTTACCAAACTATTTCCAAAGAAGCACAACGTCTCACGAAAGCTTATGCTCAGATAAATTGGTTAGTCTCTAAGGTGCCACAAGTACGCCTTTTCTTTTTGCAAATACAGACTAACACGGCTGTTACTCTGAAACAAGGAAAATGAATAATCTGGAATTGTTATTCAAGTTTCCATAACCTGTAAGTTAAAGGGGCAGTGCAGCAACAGTTGTTACTGCAATGATAGGAGGAGGAGAAAGAGAAAAGAACTTAGAAAAAAAATTGTATGAATACCTTAAGTTTTAAAAAAACTAAAGCGACACTGTAGTCGCTGAGTCTTACACTGCAGCATAATCCAGACTAACTCCACTGACTTCAATGGGTTTTTCTGGAATTATACCAGTGTAACAGAGCAAAATCTAACACACAGTCTAGAATAGCAGGAGCTCCTTTATGGAGATCAAAGAAGATGGAGATCATTCTTAGTTGCAGAGAAAATATTGTCACTTCAAATAAAGACAAAAGGATTTCAAGTTTGTTCTTTCGGATGTTTATTGTGCAAAGATAATGATTGCAAGAATTAGTACATATGAACTAACCTTAGACTTCATGTAAGGCAATTTTAGAGCTGAAATAAAATTAATTTAGCAATTTCAATGTGAGATATTTTTAAGTAAATTATAAGAACTAGAGCATAAAGTTCTGGTTATATACAACTGTTCTACATTAAAGTGTTCTAAATTCTTAAAAGACACACATTAGTAATGCTTCCACTCTCAAAAAATATTTAACACTCACCTCTTCAGGTAATTCACTATACATGGTTTCAGAGGTAGACAGCAGAAATATAGGAGAAAACGACGGTATGTCTTGCAGCAAAGTTAGAAAAGTAGCTCTCACAGTTTCACTGACAGCTTCCCACCAGTCACCAATATGAGGCATGTAAACAATACTTGGTACAGTTCTTCGAGCTTCACGAAAGATCTAGTAAAGAGAAACACTAGTATTTAAAATCAGAAATTAAGTATTACGACACACAGTAAAAAATGAAAACCGTTATGGGCTTAAGTGGTGCCTTCAAAAGACATCCTCTCATCAGCTTAATTACCTCAAATTACAATAAAAATGCTTTCCATTCAAGTTTTTGTTATATTGAATATATATATTTGAATTTGAATATATTGTTTGCTTCATCGAATTACTTTAAGCCAGTATGCAATGCCATCCAAAACAGCTACAAGTCAACACCCTGTTTTAATAATCTATTATAACAAAGAACCAACAAGCAAAACACATGAAAAGTTAAACTGTATCACATTTTGTAGCAGAAGAGAAAAATATGAAATGTCACAAAAAATACAAGATGAAAGGTCATACCAGCTTTTTAAGATTCGTAAGCATTATACTGGGTCCATTAAGCAGCTTTGTTTTGGTTCAGACACTTGCAAATACAGTGCACTGAGTTGGTTGCTGGTGGTTAACCAAATAGAATGTTTGACAGGAGGACTGACATTTTTCAAGAGCAAGGAAACATTTTAATTAATTAACTTTAAGTTTCAGGTTTATCTTAGAATTTTAGCAGCTTTGCTATTATTCCCCATGACCTGCTATTTTTTCCTCATAGGAGAGCCAGTGTTCCATGTATCTGTTACATCTCAAAATTTCACCCTCTATATCCAATTCTATGATTACATAAAAAGTCAACTCAATTACCACTTCCCTTTGTCTTCTGGCAGCCCAGATATTCTGACATCATTATGATAGTAGAGCAAGAAATAATCCAGTTTATTTTAACAAGGTCGTACCTATTTGTAATTTTTTTTAAACGTTCATTTTATTTCTGGTGGCAGATTCCTCAAGTTGTTTCTTCAGCTTGAGCTGTACTGCCCACAATAACTGATACAAACTCTTTCAACTCCTTCCTGGTGATTACTATTGATTCCATTCAGTTTGCCCAAAACACTTATAGAAAAGAATGACAACTTAAGGATTCGCAAAAAGAAAAGGAGTACTTGTGGCACCTTAGAGACTAACCAATTTATTTGAGCATGAGCTTTCGTGAGCTACAGCTCACTTTGCTGTAGCTCACGAAAGCTTATGCTCAAATAAATTGGTTAGTCTCTAAGGTGCCACAAGTACTCCTTTTCTTTTTGCAAATACAGACTAACATGGCTGTTACTCAAACTTAAGGATTGTCTTTCTGGTCCTAAGTTTGACTCCAATCAGGAGAGAGAGAGATAAGGATGCCATTCCTTTTTTACAACATTACAGCTTTGAATCTGAACTTTGGCCTTACTTGTTTACTTCTTCCAGCCATGCCCTCTTTTAGGTGTTGAATGTAATGTTAAAAATAAAGCTATCACACACATAAATTGTTTGTGATAATTCTGCGAAGCTTCTCTTCCACACAGCTGCTTGTTAACAGCATTATGGGACTCCAGCCACACACTAAACTGATAATGCGTGCACAGAACACAGATTGTTTAATGAAAAGAATGTGTATGTGCGTGTGTGTATGTGCACGTGTGTAACACACACAATATTGCAACAAAACAGAAACTTCCTACTATAAGACAGGTGAAAGACTTCAGTGGCCTTCTAGTGATTCTGTCTACCATTTTTATCTGCCTTAATTGGCATGTGTAAATTAAGGTTTAAAACGACTAAATATATATTGTCAAGATCAGCAGCCTTAAAATTCAACTCACTCTTATTTCTGGTATCTGTTTACAAATAATATGCTATTTTTGGTATGAGTTTCTCTCAACACATGCTTCAATTCTTTTTTTCCCCCATTTTCATAAATTCAATCCCTTTGTTAAGTATGAAAAATACAGTGCCTCTTGTACCTCCCCAAATTTACACCATTTACTGAGTATTAGGGCTGTCAAACAATAAAAAAAATTGCGATTAATCGCGCGATTAAAAAAATAATCGCAATTCATTGCAGTTTTAATCGCACTGTTAAACAATAGAATACCATTTATTTAAATATTTTGGGTGTCTTCTACATTTTCAAATATATTGATTTCAATTACAACACAGAATACAAAGTGTACAGTGCTCACTTTATATTATTTGATTACAAATATTTGCACTGTTAAAAAACAAAAATAGTATTTTTCAATTCACCTCACACAAGTACCGTAGTGCAATCTCTTTAGTGCAATTTAAAAATGCAGAATTTTTATTTACATAACTGCATTCAAAAACAAAACAATATAAAATTTAGAGCCAATAAGTCCAATCAGTCCTACTTCATGTTCAGCCAATTGCTAAGACAAACAAGTTTGTTTATATTTATAGGACATAATGCTGCCCATTTCTTATTTAAATCACCTGAAAGCGAGAACAGGCATTCACATGGTACTGTTGTACTGACATTTCAAGGTATTTACATGCCAGATATGCTAAGCATTTGTATGCCCCTTCATGCTTCGTCCACCATTCTAGAGGACGTTTCCAAGCTCATGATAGGTTCTGCTCGATAATGATCCAAAGCAGTGCGGACCAACGCATGTTCATTTTCATCATCTGAATCAGATGCCACCAACAGAAGGTTGATTTACTTTTTGGGGGGGGTTCAGATTCTGTAGTTTCTGCATTGAAGTGTTGCTCTTTTAAGACTTCTGACAGCATGTGCTACACCTCACCCATCTCAGATTTTGGAAGGCATTTCAGATTCTTAAACCTTGGGTCGAGTGCTGTAGCTATCTTTAGAAATCTCACATTGGTAACTTCTTTGCTTTTGTCTACTCTGCAGTTAAAGTGTTCTTAAATTGAACAACACGAGCTGGGTCATCAGCCGAGGCTGCCATAACACAAACAGACTAACACGGCTGTTACTCTGAAACCTAACAAAATATATGGCAGCATGTGGGTAAAACCACAGAGCAGGAGACATAGAATTCTCCCCCAAGGAGTTCAGTCACAAATTTAATTAACGCATTTGTAACAGGGCCTCCTTGGTCCTGCATCTGTCTCAATCAACAAAGCTGGTTCAGCGCCCTGTGCAATTTATTTATAATTGCGTCCCACCACCTTCATAGAATACCTTGCGCCTTTACAAGCAGGGGGAGAGCAATCTCTCTCTCTCACTGCCTGCTTTCCCTCCTTTTCATTTCCTTCCTGTGCCTATGTGTGGGCTCTGGCTAACGGCTTAATTAGCCTTTCTGCCATGGCCCACCCACTAACTAGGCACAGCTCTGTCTCATCAGCTCCAATCTGCTATGCCTGATTGGAGCTGCTGTGAACAGAGTGCTGACTCAGGGTTTCCAACCTAGAACTCTGTCACAGCATTATTTTTTTAACAAGCGTCATCAGCATGGAAGCATGTCTTCTGGAATGGCGGCTAAAGCATGAAGGGGCATATGAGTGTTTATCATATCTGGCATGAAAATACCTTGCAATGCCAGTACAAAGGTGCCATGTGAATTCCTGTTTTCACTTTCAGAAACAGGAAGCATTATCTCCCATATATGTAAACAAACTTGCTTGTCTGAGCAATTGGCTGAACAAGAAGTAGGACTGAGTGGACATCTATGCTCTAAAATTTTGCAGTTTTGTTTTTGAGTGCAAAAAAATCTACATAGGTAAGTTGCACTTTCACGATAAAGAGACTGCACTACAGTACTTGTTGAGGTGAACTGAAAAATACAATTTCTTTTGTTTATCTTTTTACAGTGCAAATATTTGTAATCAAAAATAATATAAAGTGAGCACTGTACACTTTGTATTCTGTGTTGTAACTGAAATCAATATATTTGAAAATGCACAAAAACATCCAAAAATATTTATAATAAATTTCAATTGGTAGTCTATTACTGTTTAACTAGTGCAATTAAAACTGCGATTAATCGTGATTAATTTTTTTAATCGAGTTAATTTGTTTTGAGTTAATCACTTGAGTTAACTATGATTAACTGACAGCCCTACTGAGTATAGAATAACTTTTCTGAGAATTTACAAGCACATCCATTAGCGCAGGCCCACACAGCACAGAGGTATTGGGACCCAGGGACTGGCTTCCCCTGCCTTCCCTTCACATAACCATAGGCACACTAATCCAGTATTCTAATCAATAAATCAACTGCAAATTAAAAGTCATTCACCTGAACACCTTAGTTGCTTTGTGTTGCTCCGGCACAGCAAAATAGCTGTAAACTCACCATAACTGGCCTGTATATTCTGGCATAGCAAAGGATCTGCCCTTAACAGTTAAAATTACAACAAAATATTTAAGGTAGATACTATATATTTTCAAATCATCAGAAATATTGCATGATAGCATTCCCTTTGGGTTTCAGGTTTAAAGATCATATATGAAATTTTAAATTTGTAAAAGACAAGGAAATTCCAAGGAAAAAAATGTTAAAAACAGAGTTAAGGCTAAGAGTACATAGGAGTAAATTTAGGATTAAAAAAATTACATGACATTTTACCCTTGTGTTACTAATACACTTTTAACATCAACCTTAATACTTTTAAGCAATTTTTTGTCTTGCATAGATCTAGATATAAAATGGAATCAGGCATAAGCAACTCTCAATGAAAAAACAGTATTCTTAAGCCATAAAAATATTTTAGTAATTAGACTTGATTTTCATGCTTCTTATAAGCATGAGTAATATTTGTAATGAAAGATTTCAAGAAAAGTCATGTTCTCCAGTTCTGGCTTATCTCATAAAAATACATTTACGATCACATCATATTGTAGGTGCACATCTAGTGGGTCCTCACTCCATATACCTTTACCCCCACCCACACTCTGCCCTATTCACTTCTCTCTTCCTTTCTTAAACTCAGTATCCTCTCCTTCATATCTATCTCCTCCTCAATCTTCTTTTCACACAGATGAATAAGGTGTCAACTGAATACTATTAACCCAAACTCCCAAACAGTGACTCTCAGACTTTTTAGGAACATAGGATGTAAATAATAAATCTGACTATTTTAAAAAGCTTTCATGAATACTTTTATGTGTTTATTTCCTTGTCAACGAAAACAGATTTCTGTGCACACACAGTTCAAACAAAGCTATAGAAACCAATTTTCCTCAGAAGTTACAAGGTACTGCACGGCTATAATGCAGGTGTGGCGGCCAATGAAGATGGAAGTCCATTCTAACAGTCCCTTGCAAGTCGTCTTCCTTTGGCAAGAATCAGTATAGGAGAATTTAGCCTTCTTAAATCCCTCAAAATTGCATCTTCCAAACTCATTTGTGGTCAGTCTCATGCTCCACTTCCTTCAACCTCAGCTCTACAAATTTTCTATGAAAACTTATCTTCTTTTGCATGCTAGACATAACCCCACTATTGCAGTTGTATGCATCCGATGAAGTGAGCTGTAGCTCACGAAAGCTTATGCTCAAATAAATTGGTTAGTCTCTAAGGTGCCGCAAGTACTCCTTTTCTTATTGCAGTTTTGTTCTCACCTGATGCAAGACTGCAAATCTCCAGGATCAGTCAAATATTTTCTCATTTGTGACAAAAATCAAACAAACGGACATCAAGAATACACCATAACTTTTGATTATGAAAACTTTTGTTTACTCTCCTTAACTGTTTTTAACGGCTCTGTTCTGCTCCACATAGGAACGTTCAACACAGAATTGACTACATGTCTTGTTTTAGTTGTCACACAGACATCCTGCTGCCCAAGCAGGACTTTGAGACTGATCTAACATATGACTTCTTCAGATATTGAACCTTCTGCTGTTAACCGACTACCAAGACACATAAAACTGTTTACCCATTCAGTGTCATTGCCATCTACATGCAGCATCAACAGAAAAATCAGAATTCCTAACTATAAAACTATAAAAACTTTAACAAAAGGTTTTTAATGTTAGCATATTAGAATGTTCCTCTGCTTTAGCTTGCAATGGCACATGCACACTGTCTTTTATCCAAAAGACCATAATTGTGCATATCATACTTTATTGGAAATAAGCTTGAATAAAACCAGAGCTGGCATCAATGCTCTATGATGCTCAGATATTATGTAGACTCACCTGTGCACATGATTCTTCAGGTGTTTTGGCACTAACTGAATAAAGTGCTGGCAGATCTAGCCTGTGTACAGAGAATTTTTCAAGAGAGTGCAATAGTGCTGGAGCAAGGTGAGAAGTTTGACCAGAACCTCTCTCTCCTGATAGCAGTAATCTTGGCCTATAAGAGGTTGGCTGGTGGTAAGCAGACCTATAACAGAAGTAATATTTTAAAAATATCACCATGCATCATTATGTATACATATGTTTATCTATACAGAGTTCCTGGTGTTTCAGCTTTTATTTAGTAATTTTTAAAATTTTAATTCTTTTAGACTTTTTTAAAATGTCATCTCAACTCTGAAACCTGTCAACTATTATGATAATAGAGATCTTCTACTGGAGATCCTACAATGATTGTACTGTGCTAACTTTGGCATGCCTCAGTTCCAGCACTGATTACCTTAGGTCTTGTCTATACACACAGTTGCAACAGTGTAACTGATTAGAAACTGATTTAATTAATCAGTGCAAAATCTGTGTGGGTATTATTAAAATGATGCAATCCTAGATCATAATCAACTGTCTTAAATCTATTCCTTACCAAGAGAAGCTAAATCAATATAATCACTCTTAAAGCCATTTAAAGGTTCACACAAGAGTTTGCATGTGTTTAAAAATGCGGCTTTAGAGTACTGCATTTTTGCGGATTGCAGCTTGGATACAGATACAAATTGTGTATCTGTGCAGAGCTCTACACACCCGCCCAAATGGAGCAGCTGTCACCCAGCTCTCAAGCTCCAGCTTGGCTCTCTGAATCACGCAGCAGCGGGCTGCAATATGTGGCAATAGTCCGCTGGGAAATCTGTGAGTTGTAGTCCCCAGCTTGCTAGGATGGAGGAGGTAAACTCTCAGAAGGGAGTGAGCCAAGAACCATTTTGAAAGAGGTGTAGTTGTACTTTAAACTAGCAGGCAGCAAGGGAAAGCGTTGTGGAGAGAGTAGTTGTTGCCACTGTCTGTCCCGGCCGGGTCTGTGTGCGTTAGATCCGTCACAGCTGCATAGGAGTGTCTGAACCCCGCACTGTGATGGCAGCTTTGCATACGAGGGCCCAGGATTGTACACTCCCTGTCCAGAGCAGGGAAGGAAATATGACGGGGGAGGAACAGGCGGTGGGGCAGGAGGTCTCTGGGGAGAAGTGGGGGGCAATAGGAGGTTGGGGGCTTGGCATAGCCCTGTGTCACTGCTGTGCAGTGACCTGTGCAGCCGTTAGTGGAACGCTGCAAATCCACGGATATCCACGAATAATTTTTGTGGATTGCGGATCGGATGCGGATATAAACACTAGCTTTAGTCATGTGTGTAGCAAGGCTTTAGCTAACAAAGGTTACTTTTTAGCAGCCCAGAAAAACCAAAAAGACAATATTTTTCATCCTTCGAAGTACCTGTCAGCTCTCTAAAAGGAAGTTTTGCTGTTTATTTTCGGGGGGGGGGGGTTAAGTGATAGTAGGTGAAGATATAAAATTATCTAAGTAATTTTGTCTGCTCTAAGAACAAAGTGAAATTGACTCGTCGGTTTTCAGAGTTAAAAATATTGCACAGGGGCTGTTTATTTCATGCCAATGCATTTGTAACTGCCAAGACCCCAAGATTCAGCAAAGCACTTAAGAACAATCTTAAAAGTTAAGTACATTCTTAAGTCCCATCGATTTAAAAGGATTTACGAAAATGCTGAAGCACCTTACTGATTTAGGGTCTAGTATCTAGTTTAATATTTACCATATATACTTGTTCATAAGCCGAATATTTTTGGTAAAAAGTGACGCATCAAAGAGCGGGGGTCGGCTTATAAACAGACCTACACCAAAATTTGATTATTTTAAACTCTATGAAATCATTGAATTGAATATCTAATACATTGTCGTTTTGTTTACCTGGAGCATCTGCAGGCACAGAGTTCCTCAGTTCCCTGTGGCCGCGGTTCACTGTTCCCAGCCAATGGGAACTGGGGGAAGTGGGGCGCTCCAGGTAAACAAAATGTCCCAACCCACCAGCGGCTTACCCTGACGGGCCAGGAGCCAAAGTCTGCCAACCCCTGAAATACAGGGTCGGCTTATGAAAGGGTCATACAGTTTTTACTATTTGTACCTATTCATCTTGGGGGGTCGGCGAACGAACGGGCTAATGAATGAGTATATACGGTATATTGCAAACTTCATACAAATTAGCTTCCAGTTGGGAACACACACTCCTTTAAAGGTTGCAAATGTGAGTCTATCAAATTACTCTGTATTTTTGTTGAAGGGCAAAAATCTTAAAGGAATCTAGCCAGGTATTGGGGGGGGGAAGGGGTTTAAAGCAGTGTCTCATCCCATTAGTATTACTTGATTTGAAAGCTAAATTTTAAAATTAATTTAATTTTCTCTTTATTACTCTGTTTACTCTTTAAAATTCATTCAGACTGAAGAGTGAAACTAGATTACTCAATTTTACTTGGTTTAAGTTTTGAGTCAATCACTTTCTAGTTGCCACGCATTATACACAAAACTTGTCTTTCGCTTTACAGATCTGATGGGGAAGGTCATAAATCCATCCATCAAAAAAAAATGTATAATGAAATTTAAAAATTAGTTAAAATGTGTCCTTTTTTTTTTCCTCTTTTGTTTCAGCTGAAACCTGAATTTTGGGCCGGCAGTGCTTGACAATGTACCTTGAGGGAAACAGCAAGATCCCATTTTAAGCTAATCAGTTATTTTTAAGTTCATGTTACTGCAAATACTGTTTAATCATCACTGTTCAGAAATAAAAATTTTCTTTCTTCCACAAGATGGCTCTATCTTGACTGGCCTCACATTTTCTTTAGTGAAATAGGCATCAACAGACTCTATATAAAATATTACTCTAAACAATTCATATTAAAATTAACATTTCTAGGTTTTTGTTGCTGCATCCATCTTAATAAACAGTTGCGTTTCATCCAAATTTAATACACAAATTCTAACCTACAATGTCTCTGCAACTTTCCTTAGAAAAAGCACTGAAAAACACACAGAATGAGGAAAAAATTAAGAGGAGGCTTTTTGAAATATACCTCTATCCTGATATAACGCGGTCCTCTGGAGCCAAAAAAATCTTACCGTGTAATAGGTGAAACCACGTTATATCGAACTTGCTTTGGCCTCGAGCATTTCTGTTATTAATACTCACTTCCCGCCCCCTGACTGACCCCTCAGAACCCCTGACCCATCCAACCCCCCCCGTCCCCTGACTGCCCCGCCCCCTATCCACACCCCCGCCCCCTGACAGGCCCCCCGGGACTCCCATGGCCTATCCAACGCCCCCATTCCCTGACCGCCCCACCCCCAGAACCTCCGAACCATCCAACCCCTCCGCCCCCCCAAGACCCTCTGCCCCTTATCCAACCCCTCAGCCCCGGCCCGGCACCCTTAACAAGCCACTCAGAGCAGCGTGTCGGAGCCAGACACACTGACCCGCCGGAGCGCGCAGCCCCACCCCCAGAGCACTGCTTTACTGCGTTATATTCGAATTTGTGTTATATCGGGTCGCGTTATATTGAGGTAGAGGTGTACAAGGAAATCTGACCTGAAACAAACTAATTTGTAGTATCAGATTTAAATGCAATAAACATATATAAATAACTGATATTGGTACACTGAAGCTCAATAGTACGTCTCAGTAAGAAAAAGCAGCCAATATGTTGCACACTTCATATTTTCCAAAATGCACCAGCATGTTTGCTTCCTTACTAAAACAGCTGGAGATTCAGGTTTAAATTCATAGATTTTAGATTCATAGTTAATGTCTGAAAAATATCTCAGGGGCTAAACATGGAAATTACATTCTTAAAATGCTATGGACCAAAGGCCAAACGCTACTCTTGAATACCCATAGGCTGGTGGTAATACCACAAAGTCATTATAAAACATTTAAAAGATTTTAGTTAAACTAAGGAGAACTTTCAAGCTAAATAGAGCTCAGTATGCAAAACAGGTTTAACCAGCTCAGTTATGCACTCTTATTACTTCACAGGAGTGTGAATGGCTTAGAAAATTGCTCATAAAGGCTTCAACACAGAATTCTCTCCATAAACATATCCTGGTATTTTAAGCACATTTAGATATAAATATGAAGATGTTGCCATGAAGCACCTTTATAAACCCTTTCTTTGAACTCTAAGTGCAAAACAGCAGTGTATGACCTTAGAGTTTCAGATCTCCTATGAATTTCACAGCAAAATGCATATACTCACATTGTAAAATGAAGGTAGGGTTTATGTATAGCAGCTGACGATTGTTTCTTTGGTGATCCTGAGTGACAGCCCGTCTCAAAAATTGATGAAGCATTTTCATCCTCGCTATCGTCTAATATTAGACTTGGTGCATCTGTTCAAAATAAGATGTTTATTAATATTAGAGTTCTGACACCTCTTGGTATACTTCAACAAACAACAAAAAGACATTGGAAGTTTCTTGGTTAAAAAAAGTTTAATAATATACTACCTGAAGTGGGAAGAATATGTCTAAATATCAGAAGGAATGTCTAAAATTACTACACGTGATTTCAGTAACCAGTACTACCAAGAATGTGTTAAAATACAGAGTTTCGTCAGAAATTCAAATGCCCTTTTACCATCAAGCACCTTGCCATTTTCATAATCATAAAGATACAAAAATAAGCTGTGTATTACAATAAATAAAATTGCTGGTTTAACTCATTACAAAATGCTTCCTCTTGATTTATTTTGATGCCAGATTCAACCGTTAAGTTATTGATTTGAACTTCCTTTGACTAGGCATAATTGTGCATAATAAATAAGCCCCCAAAATTTCAGAAGTATACTTCATATTTCAGTATTTTTCCTAGCAATAAAGCGGACAACTTATGTTTGGGAACATGTTTCTATCACACAAATTTGACAAAGAATATCAAAATGGTCAATGTCAATTCAAGTCAACTTTGTTTTCATATCCTGGGGTCTTAATCTATTTTTGATTCCTTCAACAACAAGTCATTCTCAGCTACTGAATTTAACTATCTTTTATACAGGGCTTCTTAAATGAAAGTTAAAGACTGAATACAACAGAGAAGAAAGACTATTCAAGAAAGTAAACTGAAAAACCATGAGCACATGGAGCCAATCAGAAAAGTCATTTGGTAGAAGATTCAGCATGACTGGAAATCTACATTCCAAATTAATTCAAGACAAACAGGGATGACAAAGTGAAAACCAACATTGTTAAATTGGAATTAAACTGGCAAGCATATACCAAGTAGCTGTCATTCAAACTCAAACAGAGAAAAGCAATTCTAGACATCACTTACTTATGCTAACAATCAACTGGAATGTGGCATATGAGCACAATATTTAAAACTATTACATGTAGAATCATAGAACTGTAGGACTGGAAGGGCCCTCAAGAGGTCATCTAGTCCAGTCCCCTGCACTCATGGCAGGACTAAGTATTACCTAAACCAGGCACAGCCAAACTGTGGCTCCCAGAGCCTCCCCCATACTCCCACCATGCTCCACCTACAAGACTGGGCAAGGGTGAGCTAGGGGCTTCTGCCCTGCAGCGGGGTGGTGGGACTAGGGGTTTTTCTCCTGTGGTGGGGTGGTGGGATTAATGGCTTCTGCCCTGCAGGGAGGGAGGTCTTGGGTCTTTAGCTGGGGTGTATAAGAGAAGAAGCCCCGCATCACGACAGGCGCTGCCCTGCGGCGCAGGTTGTGCACATCTTGCAGCTCTCAAACTTCTGAAGATTATTGTAAGTGGCTCGGAGGGTCAGTACGTTTGGCCGCTCTTGATCTAAACCATCCCTGACAAGTATTTGTCCAAACTGCTCTTAAAAATCTCAAATGATGGCGATTCCACAACCTCCCTGGGCAATTTATTCCAGGGCTTAACCACTGTAACAGTTTGGAAGTTTTTTCTAATGTCCAACCTAAACTGCCCTTGTTGCAATTTAAGCCCATTGCCTCTTGTTTTATCCTCAGAGATTAAGGAGAAGAATTTTTCTCCCTCCTCTTTGTAACAACCTTTTATGTACCTGAAAACTGTTATCCTGTCCCTTTCTCAGCCTTCTCTTCTCCAGACTAAACAAACCCAATTTTTTCAATCTTCCCTCATAGGTCATGTTTTCTAGATCTTTAATCACGTTTGTAGCTCTTCTCTGGACTTTCTTCAATTTGTGCACCTCGGGCATCCAGAACTGGACACAATACTCCACTTGAGGCCTAATCAGCACAGAGTAGAGTGGAAGAATTGCTTCTTCTGTCTTCCTTACAACACTCCTGCTAATGCATCCCAGAACAATGTTCACTTTTTTTGCAATATTGTTATACTTTAGTTTGCGATCCACTGTGACCCCCAAATCCCTTTCTGCAGTACTCCCTCCTAGGCAATCATTTTCCATTTTGTGTGTGCGCAGCTGATTGTTCCTGCCTAAATGGAGTACTTTGCATTTGTCCTGATTGAATTTCATCCTATTTATTTCGGACCATTTCCTCCAGTTTGTCCAGATCATTTGGATTTTTAATCCTATCCTCCAAAGCACTTGCAACCCCTCCCAGCTGGATATCATCCACAAATGTTATAAGTGAACTCTCTATGCCATTATCTAAATCATTGATGATGATATTGAAGAGAACAGGACCCAGAACTGATCTCTGCGGACCCCACTTCTTACATCCTTCCAGCATGACTGTGAACCTCTGATAACTACTCTCTGGGAACAGTTTTCCAGCCAGTTATTCACTCACCTTAGAGTGCACCCATCATCTAGATTGTATTTCCCTGGTTTATGAAAAACTCATGCAAGACAGTATCAAAAAGCTTACTGAAGTCAAGACATACCATATCTACCACTTCCCCACTATCCAGAAGACTTGTTACTCTGTCAAAGAGAGCTATTAGGTTGGTTTAACATAATTTGTTCTTGACAAATCCATGCTGACTGTTACTTATCTTATCATCTTCTAGATGTTTACAAATTGATTACGTAATTATTTGTTCCATTATTTTTCCGGGTACTGAAGTTAAGCTGACTGGTCTGTAATTCCCCGGGTTGTCCTTATTTCCCTTTTTATAGAAGGTCACTATTTGCCCTTCTCCAGTCCTCTCGAATCTCTCCTCTCTTCCATGACTTTTTGAAGATAATTGCTAAGGCCGCAAGTTTGTTACAGAGGTCACAGATTCTGTTACTTTCCAGGACTTCTGTAGGGGCCGATGAGGCTGGCCTGGGGGTCGCCTGAGCAGCTCAGGCAGCCCCTGGGCTAACCACACTGGCTGTTGCTGGGGCAGTCTTGGGTCACCGCACCCCCCTCCCCAGCAGCAGGAGGGGGTGAGGGCTCTGGGTAGTGCTTAGCTTGGGGGGGAGGTCCCCGGAAACGGGGACATACCTCAGCTCCCAGGCCAATGGGAACTGTGGAGCCAACGCTAGTGGAAGAGGCAGCGCACAGAGCTGCCTGGCCATGCCTCTGCCTAGGAGCTGAGGGAAAGGGATATTGCCACATCAGGGAGGCATGGAGCCAGGTAGGGAGGCTGCCAGCTCCGCCCCCACACCAGCACCAGTGGGGGTCCTGGGCTGTACACTGCCGCTCCCCCAAGTGCCCACAGCATGCCCCGGGCCACCCCCCGTTGCACCACCCACCCCCCAAGATTTAATCAGGGGTATATAGCACAAGTCATAGACAGGTCATGGGCCATGAATTTTTGTTTGACTTTTACTAAATATACCCATGACTAAACCATAGCCTTAATAATAGCTAATGACTTAGATATCTCCCCAGTCAGCTCCTTGAGTATTCTAGGTTGTATTTCACCAGGCCCTGGTGAGTTGAAGACATCTAACTTGTCTAAGTAATTTTTCACTTGTTTGTTTCCTATGATAGCCTCTGATCCGATCTCATTTTCACTAGCATCCACTATATTAAACGTCCAGTTGCTACTAATCTTTGCTAACCTTTCTGGTGAAAACGGAAACAAAAAAGTCATTTAGCACTTCTGCCATTTCCACATCAAAATGGATTTTGCTGCTTTTTATGCAGACTGTACTTAACATTCAATCTTTTCTTTGGCTTAACTGGATGACACTTGGTCTACACTAGCAGCCTATGTCAGTATAACTAAGTCACTCAGAAGACTGAAAAATCCACATACTGTGACCACATATCTATTCAGGGGACACCATCATAGGGCCTAATCACATCAGCCACACTATCAAAGACTCGTTCACCTGCACATCTACCAATGTGATATATGCCATCATGTGTCAGCAATGCCCCTCTGCCATGTGCATTGGCCAAACTGGACAGTCTCTACGTAAAAAAATAAATGGACACAAATCAGACGTCAAGAATTATAACATTCAAAAACCAGTAAGTGAATACTTCAATCTCTGGTCACTCAATTACAGACCTAAAAGTGGCAATTCTTCAACAAAAAACTTCAAAAACAGACTTCAATGAGAGACTGCTGAATTGGAATTAATTTGCAAACTGGACACCATTAATTTAGGATTGAATAAAGACTGGGAGTGGATGTGTCATTACACAAAGTAAAACTAATTTTCACCCCCTACTGTTCCTCACACGTTCTTGTCAACTGCTGGAAATGGCCCACCTTGATTATCACTACAAAAGGTCCCCCCCCCCCCCCCCCCCGGTAATAGCTCACCTTATCTGATCACTCTCATTACAGTGTGTATGGTAACACCCATTATTTCATGTTCTCTGTGCATATAAAATCTCCCCACTGTATTTTCCACTACATCCATCCGATGAAGTGAGCTGTAGCTCACGAAAGCTTATGCTCAAATAAATTGGTTTGTCTCTAAGGTGCCACAGGTACTCCTTTTCTTTTTGCGGATACAGACTAACACATCTGCTATTCTGAAACGAGTTAAACAGACTTAATTCCCGGTGCAGACAGTGCTATGTCGACAGGAGGGCTCCTCCTGTCAACATAGCTACCACCTCTCAGGGAGGTGGATCACCTACACTGATGGGAAAAGCCCTCCTGTTGGCATAGGTAGTGTGTTCGCTAAGCAGCACAGCGGCATCGGTACAGGTGAGCCACTGAAGCTTAAGTGTAGATAAGCCCTAAGAAGAGGGTAAACAAAATCAGGGGTGGATGAAATTTCAAAAGAAACTTAGGTTCTCACACATTCAAAGATGAAATACCTACGAAGAACCTTTAAATCAACTTATCCAAAATGCATTTAAAACTACTAACAGCAAAATATACCAGAAGAATTGCTTCTTCGGCCGGGATAAAAAAAAGGAGATGTTACATCAAGGATAATATACACTTGTTCTGAGGTCCAGAAGGAGGTGAGAAGCAGAACAGTTGAAAGTCTCTGGGTAAACATAAAAGGAGTGAAAAAT